TCGGGTTCCCGGCTGGCTTGTCTCCCACTTGCTTTCATTTGTCTCCCCAGTGCTTTTCATTTGTCTCCCAAGCTGGGTGCTTGTGGTCGGGTTCCTGGCTGGCTTGTCTCCCACTTCCTTTCATTTGTCTCCCAGTTCTTTTCATTTGTCTCCCAGGGTGGGTGCTTGTGGTCGGGTTCCAGGCTGGCTTGTCTCCCACTTCCTTTCATTTGTTTCCCAATTCTTTTCATTTGTCTCCCAGGCTGGGCGCTTGTGGTCGGGTTCCCGGCTGGCTTGTCTCCCACTTCCTTTCATTTGTCTCCCAGTTCTTTTCTCCCAGCTCTGGGCTGCTGCGGCCGCCTCTGCCTTGCAATCCTTTGTCTCCCACCTCTGGACGTCGCAAGCTCTAGTTTCGATTTTGAAAACACAAACTGTTTGGGGTCTACGGTGGTGTAATTTGTCTCCCAGGCTGGGTGCTTGTGGTCGGGTTTCCGGCTGGCTTGTCTCCCACTTCCTTTCATATGTCTCCCACTTCTTTTCATTTGTCTCCCTGGGTGCTTGTGGTCGGGTTTGCGGCTGGCTTGTCTCCCACGTGCTTTCATTTGTCTCCCACTTCTTTCATTTGTCTCCCAGTTCTTTTCATTTGTCTCCCACTTCTTTTCATTCCCCAAACAGTTTACTGTTAGGGGTTCTCAATGCTTTAAAGAATGGTCGCCTTGGTGCTGGATGGTCTGGTCGGGTTCCCAGCCGGCTTGTCTCCCACTTCCTTTGTCTCCCAGTTCTTTTCAGTCACGGTTCCCGGCTGGCTTGTCTCCCACTTCCTTTCATTTGCATCCCAATTCTTTTCATTGTCTTTCAGGCCACTTCCTTTCATTTGTCTCCCACTTCTTTTCATTGTCTCCCAGGCTGGGTGCTTGTGGTCGGGTTCCGGGCCGGCTTGTCTCCCACTTCCTTTCATTTGTCTCCCACTTCTTTTCATTTGTCTCCCAGGCTGGGTGCTTGTGGTCGGGTTTCCGGCCAGCTTGTCTCCCACTTCCTTTCATTTGTCTCCCACTTCTTTTCTGCTTGTGGTCGGGTTCCCGGCCGGCTTGTCTCCCACTTCCTCTTATTTGTCTCCCACTTCTTTTCATTTGTCACCAACTTCTTTTCATTTGTCTCCCAGGCTGGGTGCTTGTGGTCGGGTTCCCGCCCTACACTTGCTTTCATTTGTTTCCCGGTTTTTTTCATTTATCTCCCAGAAATGCTTCATTTGTCTCCCGGGTCCGTCACTGCTGGTGCCATGTAGCATTTCTATTCATTTGTCTTTGTCACTGCTAATTTCCGCCCTTTTCCGCTGGCCATGCAGCATTTCTATTCATTTGTCCCCCAGGCTTGTCACTGGTGGTGTCCGCCCTTTTCCGCTGTTTCTATTCATTTGTCTCCCAGGTCTGTCACTGTTGGTGTCCGCCCTTTTCCGTTGGCCATGTAGCATTTCTATTCATTTGTCTCCCAGGTCTGTCACTGCCAGTGTTTTGTCTCCCAGGTCTGTCACTGCTGGTGTCCGCCCTTTTCGTGCAGCATTTCTATTCATTAGTCTCCCAGGTCTGTCACTGTTGGTATCCGCCCTTTTCCGCTGGGCATGCAGCATTTCTATTAATTTGTTTCCCGGGTCTGTCACTGGTGCTGCCGCCCTTTTCCGCTGGCCATGTAGCATTTCTATTCATTTGTCTCCCATGTGATTTCTTTCTTTTTGTCTTTCAGGTTTGGTGCCTGCGCTGCTGTTTTCTGCCCTGTCCGCTGGAACAGGTTCGCCTGTGAAAGGTTCTTGCTCCTTTGCAAGGGGTGCGTGACTGTCTCCGGGATTGCATTCCTGCCGCACTGTGTAACTCTCTCAGCTTTGTTTTCCTTCTCGGGCAACCGTTGGATGAATGACCGGATTGGATTTCGGCGGTGTGGCAGCGATCTCTCTATTCAGTTGGGGCGGAGGGCATATGTCAGGCACCAAAAATCAATTTCACATCCTTCGCTCCTCATGCTTTTGTTTCTTGTCCTCACGTGGTCAGCTCCCCGCTGACTGAGCAGCATGACCAGCATCATGTTCGCGCTTGAAGAATAATTCCCCAAAAGGTTTACTGTTAGGGCTTCTCACTTCTTTCTTAAGATGTGTCCCCCGCTCTGTACTGCTGTGTCCGTCTCTGCCTTGCAATCCTTTACATTTATCTCCCAGCTCTAGTTTCGATTTTGAAAAACACAAACTGTTTGGGGTCTACGGTGGTGTAATTAGTGCGTATGATCATGGTTTCACACGAGAGTGAAGAGTGGGATCATTTGGAGTTTCATCAGCGCCTATGGCACCTATGGCTCAAAGTTTGGAGCGTTCGGTCATTGTCATATTTCCCCAAACAGTTTACTGTTAGGGGTTCTCAATGCTTTAAAGAATGGTCCCCTTCGGGTTCCCGGCCGGCTTGTCTCCCACTTCCTTTCATTTGTCTCCCAGTTCTTTTCATTTGTCTCCCAGGCTGGGTGCTTGTGGTCGGGTTCCCGGCTGGCTTGTCTCCCGCTTCCTTTCATGTGTTTCCCACTTCTTTTCATTTGTCTCCCACGTCCTTTCATTGGTCTCCCACTTCTTTTCATTTGTCTCTCAGTTCTTTTCATTTGTCTCCCAGGCTGGGTGCTTGTGGATTTGTCTCCCACTTCTTTTCATTTGTCTTCCAAGCCGGGTGCTTGTGGTCGGGTTCCCGGCTGGCTTGTCTCCCACTTCCTGTCATTTGTTTCCCACTTCTTTTCATTTGTCTCCCACGTCCTTTCATTTGTCTCCCAATTCTTTTCATTTCTCTCCCAGTTCTTTTCATTTGTCTCCCAGGCTGGGTGCTTGTGGTCGGGTTCCCGGCTGGCTTGTCTCCCGCTTCCTTTCATGTGTTTCCCACTTCTTTTCATTTGTCTCCCAGTTCTTTTCATTTGTCTCCCAGGCTGGGTCCCACTTCCTGCATTTGTCTCCCACTTCCTTTCACTTGTCTCCCAGGCTGGGTGGTTGTGGTCGGGTTCCCAGCTGGCTTGTCTCCCACTTCCTTTCATTTGCCTCCCACTTCTTTTCATTTGTCTCCCAGTTTTTTCAATTGTCTCCAGGCTGGGTGCTTGTAGTCGGGTTCCCGGCTGGTCTCCCACTTCCTTTAGGCTGGGTGCTTGTGGTCGGGTTCCCGGCTGGCTTGTCTCCCACTTCCTTTTATTTGTTTCCCACTTCTTTTCATTTGTCTCCCAGGCTGCGTGGTCGGGTTTCCGGCCGGCTTGTCTCCCACTTCCTTGCATTTGTCTCCAACTTTTGCCCCAAACAGTTTACTGTTAGGGGTTCTCAATTCTTTCTTAAGATGTGTCACTGCTGGTGTCCGCCCATTTCCACTGGCCATGTAGCATTTCTAATTTATCATTTTTCTCCCAGGTCTACTGCTGGTGTCCGCCCTTTTCCGCTGGCCATGCAGCATGTCTATTCATTTGTTTCCCGGGTCTGTCACTGGTGCTGCCGCCCTTTTCCGCTGGCCATGTAGCATTTCTATTCATTTGTCTCCCATGTGATTTCTTTCTTTTTGTCTTTCAGGTTTGGTCCATGCACTGCTGTTTTCTGCCCTGTCGGCTGGAACAGGTTCACCTGTTGCGTGACTGTCTCCGGGATTGCATTCCTGCCACACTGTGTAACACTCAGCTTTGTTTTCCTTTTCGGGCAAGCGTTGGATGAATGATCGGATTGGATTTCGGCGGCGTGGTAGCCATCTCTCTGTTCAGTTGGGACGGGGGGCATACGTCAGGCACCAAAAATCAATTTCATGTCACATCCTTCGCTCCTCATGCTTTTGTTTCTTGTCCTCACGTGGTCAACTCCCCGCTGATTGAGCAGCATGACCAGCATCATGTTCGCACTTGAAGAATAATTCCCCAAAAGGTTTACTGTTAGGGCTTCTCAATTCTTTCTTAAGATGTGTCCGCCCGCTCCGTACTGCTGTGTCCGTCTCTGCCTTGCAATCCTTTACATTTGTCTCCCAGCTCTGGGCTGCTGCGGCCGCCTCTGCCTTGCAATCCTTTGTCTCCCACCTCTGGACGTCGCAAGCTCTAGTTTCGATTTTGAAAACACAAACTGTTTGGGGCCTACGGTGGTGTAATTCAATTCAACATAGGAATTGGACATGCTTGTGTGTTTGTTCTGCCATCCCCAACCTGGTTCCCAAAAGAAAGTCCCACAAAAGTCGACACACTTCTACAAATTAGACATGGAACCTTTAGAAGGACAAAGTGGCATTGCTGAGGTCGGTGCGGGAGAAGGCCTTGCTCGTGAGTCTCCTGTTGAAGATTTCCTGATCCTCAAACAGAGCACTTTCATTGCCATCGCCAAAGTGGCAGTCATCAGAATTTGGCCACGATAATCTCCAGAGTCAGTCTTGGGTGATCTGGGTGATCTCCAGGTCCGTTTGCAACAACCTTTGGTGGCGAGGGGCTTGAGCGGCTTGAGCGGCTCGATGCTCAGAGCATGTTTGGCTCGACGCTCTATGCAAGACAAGCGTTGTTTCCACAGCAAGACATGACGAGATACCCAAAACCATACATCGTGAGATAACTGTGTCATAAGAACAACTAATACTTGTCGTACATGGTTGGCAGTGGGCGGTGTGGATCGCATGTTGAGGCATCGAGCTGCAGGAGCAGATTCATCGGTTCGGGCTGCAGAAGACGGACAATTTTCATCATCGAAATTAATCCAACCATGTTTTGATGTCACGACAGGTATTTGCAAGAAGCTACTAGTAACAAGGGCATCGCTACTAGTAGCTCCTGGCATTACTACTAGTAACAAAAAGCTACTACTAGGAGCCCTCTCCCTCGTCCATCTTTTTGTGGATGTCCAAGCTTAACTTGTCGCGTTTGCGCCATTGACTGTTCCTCATTGTGGACTTGAACAAGTTTACAGTTCTCTGCAAGCCAGCTTTACAAGTAGATTTCTTTTTACAATACTAGTAACAAGAAGCTACTAGTAGCTAAGGGCATCGCCACTTGTATCCAGGGCGTTACTACCAGTAACAAGAAGCTACTAGTTACTATTTGCTACTAGGAAGCTTTCAACTTCAACAGCCGCAAGGCTAGCTGATGCCGTTGCAGGCCGGCTCAGCAGCTCAACAGATTGACTAACTCGTTGATGATTTCTTCGTAACATTGAACATACTTTTTCAAAACAGGGTTAATAGTAATGTAATGCTGTAGACCGTAAGTGTTGTGGCCAGGCCTTCGTGGTTCAAAGCAACAGTGGAATCCAAGTGACGTGAAGGTGCGATATCCGGAGACCGAACGTTTTGCACCAACGACTATGAGACACTCCCAAAAGCCACCAAGAGAAGCAGGCTATCGCCAGATCCCCAAGCACCCAGTGAAGTTGAATTCCCAAAAACGACAAGCACAGCTTTGTAGCTATGGCTGGGGAGCAAATTGTGCAACTTGTGGACCCTGTCGTCCTAGATCCCTGATGCCAACGCACAACTGGTTGTGACTGAAAAGAAATTGCTGGCTGTTGCACTGCAAGAACCGAGATCCCACCAGCTGACAAACGCAGGTGAGATTCTGTCACTTGCAAAGAGCGCTGGTGGCGGCAAT